GCAAATGTTTGAGCCAATGAAGAATTCCCGCTGGTGGCGGTGAAGCTGCGACAAAGAGGCTGCCACGTAACAAGTGCATATAACATCACGTGAAGCAAGGTTGTGGTCCTTCTCTGTGCAAAATTCACTCTGTGACCAAAGTCCCTCAGGGATGCCACCAGGACAAGCTCAAGGTGAGGCCACTGTTTCCCGACCAGTAGCCTTGAATATATGCAGAACAAGGACTTGGGATGGTTACACAAAGTCTGTGTTTTGTTCTCCTTGCGTAACCCAAAGGTCTTTCTAGACCTCGTCTCGCCAGGCTCCAGCCATTGTCCTCGTCGACGTGTCAGCAGACAAATACAGCGCCCCTCTTCGGTCAATGCACGGTACTCTCACTATTTCTCCTATAATTGGTGACGAGTCTTTGCGTGCTGAAAATGCAAAGACGGGCGTCCCTGCAATGCGAGTGCGAGTGCGAGTCACAAGAGCAGATTGTTGGTTTTGGAGAGTGCCACGTCAGATTGTTGTGTGCTTGCACTTTGCATAAACCCATGTTTCCATCACACCAGTTGAACCAGTTGAACCACTCGCAACAGTTGAAACAGTTGAGCCACGGGCTGGTCGGAGGCTGCGCCGTGGGGGACTTCGAGTCGGCATGTCAGAGACTCAGAGCCAGCAAAGCGGAGCCAAGTTGATGGACGGCGAATGAAGATGCCCCTGGTGATCATGGCCCCATTTGCTGGTTTGAAGATTGGAACCAGTCACATTGATCTAAGTGGATCCAGCCTCACCACTTGCAGCTGGTTTTGCCAATGACAGCTCACACGTATCCACAAATGACGTCGGCCGTGGCATGTAGGTGGTATTGGGAAGGGAGCTGGCTGTAGCCGGAGCGGCTAGCGCCGGACCGGACTGGCAAGTTCCAGGTCGGCGGATGGGCAATGGGCATGGCAGGTGCGACAAGGCAACGTGCAGGAGCGGGACGTGCAGCAGCTTTGCATCAAGCTACGACAAGACAATTGCTGCAACTTGGTCCCATTGATGGCTTCGTGTCATGAGTTTCTAGTTCACTGGCTCTTGTGTGACCAACCGAATGTCTCAATGCAGCCAATACCAGGCGCTGGCACACGGTCATCGCCCACATTTCCCACTTTCTCGCCCACTTCTTCTCACCTCATTTCTCTTCCTCTCCTCCGCCAACTCGACCGCCTCTGCTGGTGTCCCCTTTATAACTCCTTCACACCCTCCTCTTGATCTCTGTTTCTCTTCTTCTCCCATACTTCTACCGCCTGATTACTACCCGTCATCAAAAGAACAAAGAAACATCAGCCTTATCTCACATCATATTGGACGACCTAACTGCAACCCCATCCATTGGCCAACCAGGATTTACTGCATTTATCATCCACAGGACAATCCAAACCGGACTTTCCAGGGATTGCTTTCTTTTGCTTTTTTCTCTCTCTCTCTGCATTGCCAGGAACAGAACTACCCGGGAAACTCGAGCGCCGACAACTCTAGTTTTGACACAAGCCAGCTTTTGCAGCGTGTTGTTGAGGTACTGCAAGATTTCCTTTCGCTTTCCCTTCGCCAACTCCTTGTTTTTCCTTATCCCGTGTACCTGTTATCCTGAGGAGTCCGACAACCCATCTGAACTGTTTCAACCTATGTGCTCAACAATCTGCCCTTGTGACTTCTGGCCCAAGGCTCTCTGTGCTACGAGGATGCATTGACTATGTCACGCTCCCGTACACATGAAATGAAATGAAATGACTCAAAAGTCCCCTGGAACCAAACAGATTTCCCATGGATATACCCGGATGGACCCATTGTTATCCCGGACAAATATTAGTGCCCAAGGAGATTCCCATGGAATGGCCGTTGAAGACATATTATCCGGACTTCGTCTATTCCTATTTGATCCTGGAATACCTGGTCATGTGCATCTCAAACACACAACATTCGGCAACTGCTCTCGACCATTTGAAAGCCCTGGGACAGAACTTACATTCGACAATATCGACATACCACATGGTGCCTGGGACACAAACTAATGATCTTGTCATGATGAGGACTACAATGAATGCTTTTCATGCTTGAAACTCCTATCATCCTTCTCTTCGGAGGATTCGTCTAGGAAGTGACCGGATGGACTGGGCTCGTCACTCTGCTTCGCGACACTTGCTACACTGCGCCGGATTTAGAAAGCTTGACCGTTCGGATCGAAGTCAGGCCCGTGGACTTGATCGCCTGTCCGAGTCTGTTGCCTCATGCTGTTTTCGTTGTCCTGGACCTCATGGCATATCAACGGGTACCTTTCCCGCCGACCCTATGGACTTTGCCAACAACTTGCCTTGTTCTTCCGGACCTGATAGCACTCGACTCCTGACCACGGAGTGGGCTGGAAACTGCCAACGTCCCTGGTTGCTGGCCGCTTCCCGTCTGCTAGGACATCCCGGATACCCATGTCCTCATTTGATAGTTGCTGTGTTTTCGGTGTCGGATGTTTGTGTATGATGGGGGCGAGTACTAACATCTATTCGCGCTGGCAGAAAAAGAAACATTGGCTCAACAATGACCTCAGCAACATTATCCAGGAGAAATCCACAACTGGCCACCATTACTCCAGGATCTCAAAGCCGGGTTCCGAGGACCATGCCTGTGACTTATGCGGACTCTGTTCCATTTAGTTCGGCCTCCATGGCCGGCGGAATGTCCAACGCACACTTTTCTTTGACTTCTACGTCCCCTGTATCACGTCGGTGTTACGGGACCGCACCGAGCGTCTATCCCTCAGGACAATACCCTCACAGTGATGACTTCTTCTTGTCAGCGTCTTCTGCAATGACATATGCTTCCATGACCGCATCTGACGGTGCGTTCGTCGTACCCGTGATGTCGAGCTTGGGCGGCTTTGACGCCGATCCAACATCTGAGTTCCTGACAGAGGATGCTTTCTCGGGCGACAATTCTCCAGACTTGAACCTCGTGCAATCTTCGCAATACCCGGGCCAAGACCAGCCAGAGGATCTGATTATTCCCGGATACATGTCCATGGATACTTCGCCACTTTACCATCAAGGAATGGTGAACAATTACAGCTCACAGAGTTTCTCCGTTCAGAGACTGCCAACACCCCCTCCAGAGGATTATGTCCGGGATTGCCTGTCTGCCCAGGAGAAGCTATGCCCAGATGCCCAGGACTCCGCTCTCTACGGGAGCAATACCGTGTCAAAGGCGCTACCAGATAGGTCAGATCCCCCCTTCTCCCTACCCGCACCTCGTCCCCCTACTAACACAAGTTGTCACCAACAGCCTCAAAGGACGCAATGTATTTCGACCCAGGCCTATTCGATCCGCATCAGAGCGGAATGGCGTGATTGACCAAAGTGTTTCGTGTATCCTGCCTACTGAGACCCGGAGCCCCAAAGAGGAACAATCGGACCGAGAAAAAGCCAGAAGTGGACCACTCTATGAAGCCCGGCCCGACAAAAGCGGACACTATCATTGCCCCATGTTTGAGAAGCTCAAGTGCAATCACCAACCCACCAAACAAAAATGCATCTACAAGTAGGTCAAACCTGTGCCACCCGCAAGCTGATGTCGTTCTAATACTCTCTGCTTCATCCAGCAAATACGTGGACTCCCATTTGAGGCCGTATCGCTGTCGTTTTACGGATCGCCCGGAATGCGAGGACCTCCGGTTCTCTTCTAATGCATGCCTCCTTAGGCACGAACGAGAGGCCCATGGAGAACACAACCACGGAGTGAACCCCTACCTGTGCAAATTCCCGGACTGTGACCGTGCTCGAGAGGGCAATGGATTTCCTCGACGATGGAACCAGCGTGACCATATGAAACGAGTCCACCAATACGAAGAACCTGAGCCTCTCCCCAAGAAGAGCTCAGCTACTCAAAGCCAGAACAAGAGGAAGAAGCCGACATCTGTCCCCATGAGGAGGTCCAACTCGTCCACCTTGTCCAAGGTCCATGCGATGGCCAACGCTGCCATCCAGACTCAGAACTATGGCCAGGCCATCACCCGAGCGCAGTACGTTGCGCCAGGCGCGTACACCATTCAGACCCAGGATTATGATGCAATGATGCCACAAACAGTGTCGATGGATGATGTCCAATTCTCGCCCACAACCGCCATCTCCAGGACGTGCCGGGTGTCACCACCCTACTCCGGGATCTATCCTTCATGAGTTTCTTTCTTTTGTCCGTCCTTAACTCAATCAATGAAGCGATATATACCCTGTGCAACCTACCACCTAAAGACTACTGGACCTTTTCATCACTCTTCTTCTGAACTTGCACGAGACCAACCATGGAGCCAGCCCACCGCTGTATTGCAGAGCAGCAATGTCAGAGGTGAAACAGAACAACAGTGCTGCCATGGGATGAATGCAGCCAGAACCTCCCTACCAAAATGTCAGGCTACCTGTTTCCATTCTATATTTCTTCAGCCGGGTGCGACCAAACCACAGGACAAATTCTCTTCCGAGACGGGGTCGTGAATCCCGGAGGTTGTTGTTTATATTCCCAGGACTGGCCAACACATCTACCAAGGAGTTTTCCCCCAGGACTCATTTCCAGGATAGGCCAATATGCTTTTTGTGACAAATTCTACGACATGTTCAAACAATCGACCAGAGAATGGTTGATGCCTATGCAATCTTACACCATTGGTCTAGAGACATTCAGCGAGGGTGGAGGGAATTGGGTAAATAGAGACATCATGACAGCAGTGTCAGTACTAATCGCTGTGAATGTACTGTACGCACAATTATGTAGCTACTTTCAGGACTTTTCGGGGCTTTTCCTCAGAGATAGCAAAATATGACACCTTGAGTGTAAAACTTCTTTGACTTGGTCCTTTTGAACCTCTCAATTGTGTAGCCCGCCCACCCACCAACGCTGGCAACTCCCGCGGCGCTCCCAGAACCCCCGCCATAACCCAAAAATCAAAATTTCTACTCAAGTCTGTACCAACCTTCTATCGCCTGCACTGCGTTATGCCAGTGAGTACAAGATCCTTGCACCTAGACTGTCCTCTTCACGACGATTGACTTTTTCCCCGTAGCTCATCATTATCACAGGCCTTCCGTGCTCGGGCAAAACGTACCGCGCCCAGCAAATCGCTGCGTCGCTGGCGGCCTTCGTCACCCCTCCTGCCAACGAACCATCAATATCAAAAAGGACCGTCCAGATTGTCCCTTCATACCACGCATCGTCGGACGACGACCGTGACGGTACGGAGTCTATAGAACAGACGACACTCCTTCGAGATCAGATCTACAACAACGCCTCCCACGAAAAGACCGCGAGGGCGGAAGAGTTCTCCGCGATCAAGCGAGCGCTTTCAAAGGACAATGTCGTGATCGCCGACGGGTTGAACTACATCAAGGGCTATAGATACCAGTTGTGGTGCGAGGCCAAGGCCGTGGGCACGAGATGTTGCGTTGTCCATGTGGCGGCGCAGGAGGATGAGTGCAAGAGGTGGAATCGAGAGAGGTTGAGAGCGCAGCAGGGGGAGCTGGACGCTGAGGATGGTGGTGGCAGTGGAGAAGATGGGAATGTGCTGGACAAGGATAAGCACAAGCATACGCAGCACAATCAGGGCGAAAGTGTCTTGGGCGATCTGGTTCCAGAAAGTCATACCGCCATCTACGGTGATCGGGTGCTGGAGCACGCGACGTCTCGGTCTCGGTCTTCCTCGATGGACGGGCTGGACAATGGTGACAGCGGGGATGCGATGCTTCGACCGTTACCAGACGACACGATGACTCTCAAGTCCTTATACATCAACGGACCGCCGGACGCAAGCTCGCCCTCGTCGTCGTCGACGGTACCAAAACCAGGACGAGAGAATCAACCCTTGCCGACGCCTTATGCGCCATCAATCCCAATCCCGCCGCCGACTTCCTCTCCCCCATACTCGTCGTCAACTCTCACCTCCCTAATGATGCGCTACGAACCCCCGTCCCCTTTCTCCCGCTGGGACACACCTCTCTTCACCGTCCCTTCGTCCGACGCTTCGCCTCCGATCCAGGAAATCTGGAACGCAATCTACCCCCCGCCGACAAAGCCGACCAGCAAAAAGGCGTTGAGTCAACTTCGTTCATCTGAAAGAGCTGGAACAGCGGCGGGTAATGGGGACAGGGATGGGAATGGGAACGCGGCCGTTGTAACCCCCTCATCCGCAACACAACCCCCACCCGTGCGTGAAAAGCCGGAAGTGGTGAAACCGCACGCGGCCACGGTTCTCCCGCGCGCCACAGCCTCGGATGCCCTGCAAACCCTTGAGTCGGCCACCATGGACGTGGTCAAGAATCTGCTCGCACAGGCGCGGGAACAGAATCTCTCCGCCCACGCAGGTCATGATGGCGGCGACGTGCTCCTCTCCATCCCCATCCCTCTTTCCCTCTCATCCCCTAGGCACCCAGCGGAACCCACCACTCCCGCCGAGTCGCCCAAGACAACAACCGTCGAACGAGCCATCCACATCCCTCCCGGCGTCGTCCTCTCGCAGCCCATGCTCCAGCGCCTCCGGCGGAAATACACGCAGATCCAAAGAGGGGGTATCGCGCACGGACAGGGCTACGTCAGTGGACGCAGGCAGATCGTCGAGGGGTTCATTGACTTTCTCGAGGCGGAGTGGATGGAAGAAGAATGATTGGCTTGGCTTGGCTTTTGTGAGGTAAAACAGGAGGTCTGGAGCGAGAGAAACGGAGGGGGAGAGGGAGGGGCTAAAGGATGATATCTCTACAACGATAACGACGTCGACGACGACGACGAAAGACAGAGAGAGGTGAGGTGAGAGGAGAGGAGCTGACACGTAAAAGGCACCCGGGTCGGGGCTATTGAATGCCATAGAGCAGAAAGACCGACAAAATTCAAAATCATGATTGAAAAAAAAAGAGAGACAGAAAGGCATCAAGAGTGATAATGGTCGTTCTCATTCCAGTTCCGATTTCCCCAGTTCACCCCGTTCCTAGTATCCGTTTCCCATTCTCATTCCCATTTCCCAAATCCGCTCCCAATTCCACATCTCTGTCTTGTGTTTTTCTTTTTCAGTCATTCCTGATCCTGACGGCGCGAGGAACCGTGAAGCGCAAAAGAAGTCCGCCGGCTCTAGGCACCGGGTCGTGTGTCTGAAAAAGAAAAGGAATCTAAAATTCTCCAAGATCATGTGTACCTCCCCCTTTCCTTCCCTGGGTTGTGCCCCTTTGGCCCTCCCACCAAAAGTCCAAAAGATCATCTTGGAACCTCGCGACTGTACTCTCGATAAAGGGGGAAAAGCAAATTCCAAACATGGACGGTACTCCAGCAAGTGTTCAGAGACGCTGATTCAACTCCAGTTCACCGCATGAAATGCATTTCTTCAGTCGCTCATCTAACAAACCACGCAAGCATTGCAATAAATTAAACCGAAATCCTTTCCCGAGGTAATCCGAGGTGAGAGAGAGAGGGAGGGAGCTCTAAGCCCACAGTTATCTTCTCTATACCTTTTTGTATGCCGGTAGATGGTGAGACGCTCGAAAGAACTGAGCATACTCGAACCCATCACCACTGACTGTGATAACCATTAAACCCTCGGTAGGGGCTGGCGATTGCGCGATATTTTGACCACAAACATTCTGGGGGTATCGGCCCGAGACAATAATGACGACTCCGAAGAAGATAAATATCGTTGAGATAAGAGTAGAATTTCAAGAGTTGAGAAGCGGGCAGAATCAATAGGTGGCTTGCAAAGATTGGCAATGTCGTAAATGTGGATACTGACGTAACAAATTCAAGTTCGTATGCTATGGTTGCATCGGTAGTTGTAAAGGAATGCAGTGGTCCTTGTGCCGCATTGTAATCGGAAGGTGACAATATTAGATCGAGTTGCCGCTGGCGGGTTCACCATCGCATGCCGGTCTCCAAAACAGAGGTCCTTTTGTGCGGCATGGTATTAGTGGGTGTCGAAATATCCGTGTTGTGCTCCATCACATGCCAAACTCAAAGTGTCCTCGGCAACCCGTCTTCAACCGAGAAGCCGTCGTGTGGCGAGAAGTCGTATCTGATAAAACAATACAAGCGACTTGAGTAAAAGGGTATAGACAGTGAAATGATGCGGTGATCATGTCCTTTCTAAAGCGTAACATCGCCCAAGTCTCGCATCAAGCAAGCCATCTGTGCACGTTTTGCTGCCTCGGCCAGAAAGTCAGGCGGCAACTGCCCGGCGCCCATCGTCTGCGGGTATGCGGGATGCTCCTTGGACATCGAATTCGAGTGTGGATGTAGATGATGATGTTGCTCTTGTTGATGCACTTGGGATTGCTGGTCGCCAAATGTCTGTTGCCCTTGATAACCCTGGTGCATTGGCTGCGCTGTGTATGAGTTCGGTTGCGAATAGTGCCCACCAAAAAATGGTCCCATGTGCGCAGCTGAAGGCGAAGGCAACGGAGCGTGAATATGAGGGTGCCCTTGCTGTTGGTGAGACATGAAGTGTGATTGTATCTGAATGCGATGCTGTGGGTGTTGAGGAGTAGGCGGAGGTGGCGGAGGCTGTAGAGTGTCACTGACAGGACTTGGGTGAGAACTCGTCGAGGCACTTGAAGGCTGCGAATAGTTATTCGGAAGGCTAGAAGGAGAACGGCCACTGCTTCTTTGCTGGAATTGCTCTGGCTGTAGATGTGATGATAGTCGGGCACTCCGCCGCGGATGGTTGCTCATCTTGAGCCTCAACCCGTCGGCGCAGGGCGGGAGACTATTACGTTCCAAAGAGACGTAACCGCTCAACAAAGCGGCTTTGTTTCAGCTGAAATTATCTCCTTCTTTTTCTGAGAACAGCGCGCGGCTGGCGGTATTTGCGAAACGAAAGGCACTGCAAAGAGGTTGCCAAGGGTTGCAGGTTGGGTTCGACGGTCGTGGCTCTGTAGGATGGAATCAGGCGCAAAGAGGAACACGAGGTACGTAACAAGAAAAAAGAGTCCAAAGTGAGTGTAACAATGACTTGGCCGCAAGAAAAGCCGGGGGGCCGGAGGATTGGTGCGGGCGTCAAAGAGGTATTTGGAGAGATTGACCAGAGCCGGGCAACTTGGAAATGTGACTTTCTCCAAGTTTTTTGCCTTGCGCTTTCTGGGGAAGGTCGGAAACGGACCGTCTAAAGGCAACTGGGAGGTTGTCTGACCACCCCAAGAAGGGGCCGAGTCAAGATATGTCACGGTTGATAAAGTCCAAGGCGAGGCCGACTGAAGCCGCGGTTGGCTGGTGAAATAGCCCGTTCGTGGGGGAGAGACAGAATGGTGCCGCCCTGGGAGCCTGGTAGAGTCTGGAGTGATGCGGGGCGTTTTCAATTGGATGTCATAAACGGCACGCTTTCCCGGGTTGATCTGTGGGGGAACCTGGTCTTGAAATGGGGCGGCCACACAATGAGGAAAACCCTCGATGCAAGATGAAGGGCTCAGATCAGGGGAAGAGATGGTCAATGTGTGGGAGAAGGGTGAAAAGAGATGGGAGGCAAGTAGTAAATTCGACACCATCAAGAAAGAACGCAGCGCAGGCGGCAAATGAGACGAGCCCATCGGAATGTCGGAATCACGGGATCGCAGCATCGCAGACGACGGGCAGATGCGGGATCCAAAACACCCTCTTTTCTTTATCGTCGTTTTCTTTCTGCGGGCCCCGACAATCTGCCGGTCATCTGGTTGACCAGTGGATGGCCAGCGTTCTCATCTATCATCTGTCATCTATCACCTGTACGAGGTACCGAGTTCCTAGTGACGAAAAGTACCACACAGCCCAAATGAGGCCATTCCACCCTCACATCCACTGCACTTCGCAGAATCTCATTCCGGTACCTTGGAGGCCACTTACCGAGGTCATCTGGCCAAGAGGACAAGTACAATAATTCGCCCTCCCCGCCTTATCATTGCCCCGGCCAGCGATTGTTTAGTTACCAAGTCTTCGCGCTGGATTCCGCGGACCTTGGACGGGATCCCTCCGAGCTACGAACCTTGCCCTGGCTGGGGGGATGCCGAACGGATTGAGATCAGCCTCTCGATGAAAAGAGATGACTCCACATCCTCCCCACGCAAATTGGGAGTTGCTTTGGTGGCCCATAACATGATAAAAGAGAAGACCAAAGGGAGAAATTGCCGGGCTTGGGTAAATGGCCTGCCTGAGTCAGGCCACCACCCAGTCCTTCCCACCGTATCGTGCAACTGCAGTTCTTCATCACATCATCGTCCTGCAGAATTCCGGTCACTTGGGCACTAGGAACAGGAACCGAGGATATCATCGTCCTTTCTCGGCTGCCCTTTGTCTTGCCTTAGCGTCATCGATCAACTCGCAATAATGCTAACGCTCGGCGATGACAGACTTGGTCGGGAGATATGTAATGTCTTCCGATTCTTACCCAGTAGTCGACCCGCCGAAGGTCGCTGACGGCCTTTGGAGAACCCATCAACCCATGTACACACCTACAAGTATGGCTAAATTCTTCCCCCAGAACGCCCACCGCCTCGAGCTCCCCACCTCTCGCAGCGACGATCCAGAGACACGTGGTATCAGAAATGATTGCACGGCATTAATCTTCCAGGCTGCGCATATACCTTGTTTGGCCATGTGCAAAGAGGCAGGCGTTTCAACCAATAGAGACATCTCATCGCCCAGAGCTGAGAAGAACCATCAGACAGGCGACGAGCATGAGGTTAGCTACTGTACAGTGCCGAAGTATCACTCTAGGCCTGCCGGCTTACACCGAAGAATCTTTGGACCCTTTTACGATTGCTACGTTGCTCTCTGGAAGCCGGACCAGCAGATGACCTGATCTCTTGGGGAACAACGCTGTGTCTGCTCGACCTATTCTGCATTGCCGAAGGTTTAATTGAGACTTGGAGGCCAACCCCGTGGGTCGGATTGTACGGCTACCAAGGGGTGAGGACCATGTCGAACACGCGTATCGAGATTCTTAAGGACGACTTTAGCCGCAAGAAGCTCCGATGCCTTTTCCCAGAAAATATTTTTATCGACTGTATCTCGTAGTTGTGTATGACACCGACGTCAGGCTTTAACCAAGCCAGGTCCATATCTCTTGAGTCCATTCCTGATGTTACTTTCGCGAGGAAAGCCGATCTGACACCATTTACGACGGCCAAGATAGCGGTCATGAAATCCAGAGATACCGGCAAAGGACGGGGACGGATGGAGACCGTGGTCGTGACGACCGACAAACATCATCATCATCGAGAAAATCCAAACTGAAGATCGTGGAGAGCAGCTCTTGAAGGCTATATAGACATCTGTCTAGAAGCGTCAAAGAGCCCTCTCTGCATTCCTCGAACTCAAGACATAAGTGGCGGTACTACCACCCATATTGCGAGTGAGAGTTAACTAGAGGCGTATTAACGGCACGGGGCTGTCAAGCTCGGCGTATGCCGAGCAGTCATAGCATGTCGATGGATGTGAGTAGCACCCTAATAATTCCACTCTTTCTGGTCGCGGTAGAGCCTCACTGTGGGTATCTAATGAAATCCAACGGTGATCACGAGAATCTCAAAGTTCGTAACACAAGGGCAACAGCTCGCAACAGCAGGATCATGGATGGGCAGCTGGTATTCAAGGATGCGGTGGAGCATAAAAGCCGATAGACATAATTATACGGTGGAGTATTGCTTGCGCAAAGCG